AGTGGGTCTCACCTTCGTTGTATATAGGGCCCGGAAAACCATGCGTGCGTGTCGTCGTCGTGTGTGAGGGGAGAGGGTTTTTTTTTTTTTCCTATAGTCAAGAGTTCACATAGTTAATAGCGTCAGTTTGGGCTTTGTACTTCTCGTGTGATCAAGTAACAGTATACCTTAATAGAATGACAAGGTTGTGCCCCCCACTTTCATCTTTACTTTGCTACCTTGGTACACGTTGTGTAGAATGTGTTGTCGTCTGTGGTGGATGTCGGTGGCTGGCGACACGAGCTAGAGCGGGTTATGTTGGTTGGTGAGGAGTCGACCTGGAGGGAGGTGAGAGGCGGTGGGAAAGGTGTAGAGATCTGCCTCCAGTGATCCCCTGGGGGGTATTAATATCGCTCCTGCTCCTGCCTCACGCACCCTTAATGTTTTTTCTCCTCTCGTAAAGATGCTCATTATGGAGTTGAGCAGTTTTTAGTGCTCTTTACCCAACCCATTTGTCACCACCCCACCACCTCCCTTCCCTCCCCTTTAGTCTGGCATCCCTGTCTCGTCCTCAACCCCTCACTAACGTGTTTTACCCTTACCCACGAGGGGTTTAGTTTTTCTACAATGGTTTCCTTGACTAGACTGCCTAGTGGTCATAAAAGTTCTGATTAAAACCCCCCATAAGACACCCCTCACCTTTGGCGCACTTACGTCATTCAAATCTCGATAAATTAAATTTGTTTGTAGGCATGAGGTTATCTTGATGATTTCGGGGCTTTTAGTGTCCCTGCGGCCCGGTCCTCGGCCAGGCCTCCACCCCCAGGAAGCAGCCCGCGACAGCTGACTAACACCCAGGTACCTATTTTACTGCTAGGTAACAGGGGCATAGGGTGAAAGAAACTCTGCCCATTGTTTCTCGTCGGTGCCTGGGATCGAACCCAGGACCACAGGATCCCGCGTGCTGTCCGCTCGGCCGACCGACTCTCATCGGTCTCTGGTGAAGGTGAAGAAACTCGCTACAAAGCTCTGTGCCTAAATAACCCCCCACGACTAATGCAGTGTTTGACGCTTCACACTGTTAACGCGTAAGTCGAAATATCAATTTTTTATTCTTGACACGAAGTAGCCTATGCCCCGAGTGTGACAAATCTTGTTTTCAGCGAGAGCTGTTCTCGGAGCCTTCCCCCCCCCCTCTTCCTGGTGCCCCTGCATTGGCGCACAACAGGATGATCGATCTATTGTGAAGTACCTGGGCATCGCTGGGGTTAAAGTGGAACACCCCGCTGCCACCAGGACCTGCACGCATGCACTGTGGGCCCCTCACACTGCTACCAACCAACCAACCTCACCATCGGCACGAACACAACTCTTCGACCCAGAGCAACGCTCACTGGAGGCAACCATACAACTGCCTGTTCCCCCTCTTCAACTTTTCCTGCTTCCCTTACACTAGTTCGGTCATTAGCTAAAGTTATTGTTAGTGCATTTATAACGTACGCGTGCGTGCGTGTGTGCGCGCGCGTGTGTGTGAGAGACGACGTAATTACCGACGGGCAGTTGAAGGAACTTTCCCAAACACTGAGGCTTGCGAAGAGTGGTGGTTCATTCACCCCGAGCAACCGTAGACACGAAGATAGATTTGTTTTCCTTTTTTTATTAACATGAAAAAGCCAGTTATTTTACTTTCTCCTTGTTGCTCCTTCCTTCTTGCCAGCTCTCCTAGTACTCTTCTGGTTCCTTGTTACTCTCCTTTGTCGCCGGTGACGCCTGAAATAGATATCGGGTAGACAGGTTTTAGTTTAGTTCATTTAGCACAGTTCTAGCTCGCCCGCCATCCAGTAGGTGGTAGTGGAAAGAGTTAAGAGGTACATAATGAGCTCAGGGACTGAACCGCAAAATTCATTTGGCTTAGCAAGTTAGTCTTGATAAGCTAGTTAAAAATTGTAATTATATTGTTAAATCATTACTTTGTTTATGACCAACACATGTTCAGTCTCTATTCTAAGCAACTTTCTGGTGAGCTAGTGTAACAATGGATATCTTTACCCTTCACCCCCCCCCCCTCGCCCTTTCTGCCCTCCACATCCAGTGTGCAGTGGTGGATAGGACGAGGCCTCCACCCCCCCAGGAAGCAGGCCGTGACAGCTGACTAACTCCCAGGTACCTATTTACTGCTAGGTAACAGGGCATCAGGGTGAAAGAAACTCTGCCCATTGTTTCTCGCCGGCGCCCGGGATCACGCGTCCAGTGTTCTGTCTGCTCAGCCACCGGCTCCCCCAGTCGCCCATAATTATTATCTACAGTTAACATACTGGGCGATGTTTAGCTCGGCATAATTGACTTGTCGAAAGTACATGTCAAGAGTCCCTGTGGCAGTAATTGTGATTTGATAACAATTTCTCGCTAGTTATGATTGGATTAACCTAAACAAAAAGGATGACTTAGTCTTTAAATATCTTAGTTTATTTAAAAGATATAAAAAAATTAAGCGGGCACGCTTGAGCAGTTTGTTGCACAAATTTAATAAAGGGGTGAGCAGATGTGAACGTTTAACACGGAGCAGCCGCAAAAACGTGGACGTTAATTGGCTTCGCGTGCAACCTGTCCTCTTACAAAGAACGTATGCGTTACTAAGGCCAAAAATTGTACTAGAAAACGGAAGCGGCTCGCGGAAGTGACGCACTGTCCCATTTTCTGTTTTGGGTCCTCTGGCTTAGTCTGTTAGGAGAGGACACTTTTAAGTTAATCGTGTTCTTGACGTTTTGAAACCATGAGGGGTGCATCAGTGCCAGTAACGGCATTCATCTTTTTGCCAGCAGCAGGTTGGGAGTGGGAGGTAAGGTTTTAAGGTGAGGGGTCCGCCGCCGATTCGCTAACGCCTGGCTAACGGCACGAAGGTGTTCACTAGACCACACTTACCTTTATGCTGTGCTAGGATAGTCGTTGGCTTAGTCTTCGTCTTAAGAGTGGCTACCCACTCTCACAGGAAGTGGGGGGGAAGCGGCAGACCTCCTTGCACCATAGCAAAAGGTCTGCAAAATAGGCTGGCGTGCCCCCGCAAGCAGTTAGTGTTTTATAAGGTGAAGTGGCGAGACCTGCGAAGATGGTGTTAGTTAAAGACGTTAGTTCATTAACGACGGTGGGACGTTATTAGCGGCTGTTAGGTGATTTATGAAGATTAAGCCACCCTCGAGGTGGCACGGGCATGAACGCCCGTAATGCTGTTAGGTGAAACATTCAGGTATTTTGTACAGGCAGCTACGAGGTGGTGTACACCGTCCGTCAGCATCTGGTAGTGCAGTGTTTGATAAATCTTGCAAATGATGATTATGGCGCGTGATGGGCTCCATCAACCTATGGGAATGCATTTACAATTCCGAAGGTTGAAATTAGCACACTTACCCCTATCTCGTAAATATTTCCCTCCGTGTTAGTGTTTGCACCTCGCCCGACTGAGGGAGTTTTTTTCTACTAGAAGTCTTGCTTATCCTTACCTGTTGGACCCTCCCAGTGTCCCGAGTTGCCTTGGGGGCGTTCAGTTTCCTGTGCCTGGGGTCACTGCTGACCTTGAAGATGACGTTCCCCATGTTGGTGTTGTGGGGTTGATCACCAAGTAGATGGTGATCAACTTTGATAATTTTATCCTAAAATTTATATACTTTATATTTAATATCTATTTATATTCACTTTGTCTTATACAAGGGGGGCAATTTAACAGATGGCCCAGTACTCTGTACTTACGGGTTCTGTTTTGGGTAATTGCCTGTGTGGCAAAGCCACCTGTATGTCAGTGGTGTTAATGTAGGTATTAGCTAAAGTGGTGGTGCTTTTAGATTCAGCTACTCGGAACAATAAGTTGCAAGCAGCACGGGCTATGGTGAGCCCGTCGCACTTACCTGGCACAGGAGCTGTGCGTTAGCCAAGGTTGATAAGTTTGTACATAAATAATATAGACCGATGTTCATTGGCGGCATAAGTACGTGCGTAAAATTAAGCACTCTTATTGCAGTAGACATAAATCATTGATGAAAAATTGAATTAGTTATTGATAAAAAATGAACTAAAAAAAATGATAGTGGGGTCGTATTGGGGAGAAGACGGGGCCCAGTTGTTCATACTTAAACTTGGATACCTAGAAAGGGTTCTGAGAGTTCTACTCTCCTTATGTGAGGTACTTTTGTATTATTTTGATTACAGTTTTAGTCCCCACAATTGGCTATAAATTGTTTTAAGCCAGTGGCAGGTAAGGCATGTGGTAATCCCTGATCGAGGGTGGTGCCTAGGCTTGCTCGACAAGGCTGCTGACATGGCTGCTGGCGTATGCATCACAGGCTGTCATCCAAGCAGCATACGGTAAACAATCCCAGCTTGTTTATTTAAGGAGTATAAACATTGATCACGAGATGCTCCATGCTAGTTAGGGGGGATAATAATCCGATTATAGTTAGATTGCGCGTTTTAGTTGCCAGAGGTTGTGGCTAAGTAGTGCTATTTAAATATTTTTCGGTTCATTTTCGTGTGAAAATTCCGTAGTGTGGAATTATTTCACTTATACTTGACTAAGGACGGTATTAGGGAAATTAATCTATTCCAAAGATATAGTTTACCTCTGCGAGCGTTGTGTTGGCTTGTTACTCTCGCCCAGGTTTAACCAGATGCGAAAGGGTAAAAGAAACCTTTTAACCAGATGTGTGTATTGAAAGAGGGGCGTCAGAGGTAGAATTACTGGACGACAGAGCCAGAGTACATGGGTGGCATTGTGTGCAACTGATTCTGCTTCAGTGGAAACCTCGGAAACTGCTCCTGATATCTTTAGATATATTCAAATTCTCACTATGACAACTTAAGCTTGAACTACACTGTTAGTGGGCATTGTTCCGACATTGATATTAAAACATTAGTGGGACTTCAGCACACTTGTCTCCCTTAAAATACTCAACGTGGATGTAGTTTAAGGATATTAATGTTTAAGTGTTGGTGGTGAATTATTGATGACATGTTTTTCTGGTGTCCCTCAGGTGAGTAGCGACCTGATGAGCGACGCGTGCGAGGCTTCTGGAGAGGGCAGCACTGTAAGTACCTTCCTCAAGTAGGACCTTACACAGATCCTTGCTATCTGCTCCTGCACACGCGCGCTCACACACTCACACGTGGACTTGTATCCTGTATGTACATACACCCCCCCTCCCCGTTCCCTCGCTTCTCCGCAACGTGAGTCCAGATTCTCGAAGAGGTTACGCAAGTACTTACGAACGTGTACATCTTTCCTCAATCTTTGACGGCTTTGATTACATTTATGAAATAGTTTACAAGCATGGAAACTTCCCAATCAACTGTTATTGTTATAAACAGCCTCCTGGTGCTTCAGAGCTCATTAACTGTTTAATAATTGTAAACAAAGCCGCCGAAGATTGAAAAAAAGATGTACAGGTTCGTAAGTGCTTGCGTAACTGCTTTGTGAATCTGGCTCCTGCTCCTTAAGCAGTGTTCTTTGCTGTTTTGCCATTCAGCCCTGCTTCACCGCCCACAACTACCTACACACGCACGAAACACACACGCAAAACACGCCATTGCTTTATATGCTTCTGCTCAGTCTTCAGCTTCTTTGTTTTGTTATACTTTTTCGTGGTTCTGGATTGCCTATGAAATACGTACCAGGTAAGTGTAGATATGTTGAGGGAACTACAGATAAGGACAGAATGGTCTTGCAGGTGGGGCTAGTCGAGGCATTTTAGCCGGGTAGTGTGTGGTGTTTAATATTAAACTTGTGGTAGAAAATGGTAAACAAAAATTGAACTTGAAACTAGTAGGTGATCAAAGGATGTGGGTGTGCAGTGGTGACGCTACAAGAGTTGCGAGGCGATTGTCTTATCTTGACGCTCGTAGTTTTTTTTTTGTCAAGTAAATTAAGTAAGAAGGCGGTGCCACCTTGGAGTGGTGACCGCGCCCCTCTGCCCTCCCACACGCCCGACGCCCACGGAGCGCTCGCCCACGAATCCAGCGCTCGGCCCCTCCACCACAAAGCCTCGCCCATGAGTCGTGTCTATATCGGGTTTCCGTTTTTAGACCTGGGCAATGTGAGCCAAAGAGCGATGTCGATGTTGTTTTCTATCTATATAATTAGTAGAAACTTCACTAGCTTCGAGGGCGGCAGGTGTGCGCTCATCATACTGCGTGGATGTGAGTGGCTGCTGCTGCCCTCCCCCGTTGGCCTCGCGGCGGCTGCTGCTGCCCTCCTCCGTTGGCCTCGCGGCTGCTGCTGCCCTCCTCCGTTGGCCTCGCGGCTGCTGCTGCCCTCCTCCGTTGGCCTCGCGGCTGCTGCTGCCCTCCTCCGTTGGCCTCGCGGCTGCTGCTGCCCTCCTCCGTTGGCCTCGCGGCTGCTGCTGCCCTCCCCCGTTGGCCTCGCGGCTGCTGCTGCCCTCCCCCGTTGGCCTCGCGGCTGCTGCTGCCCTCCCCCGTTGGCCTCGCGGCTGCTGCTGCCCTCCCCCGTTGGCCTCGCGGCGGCGGCTGCTGCTGCTGCCCTCCCCCCGGCTGTCCTCGCGGCGGCTGCTGCCCTCCCCCAGTGGTCCACTCACTGCTGCTTCCCAGTGCTGTTTGAAGCTACTCTTATTTTTAAACTTCATTGATTCTCAACCAGCTCCCCCTGGGAGTCGGTCTTTTTGTTAGTAAGTTATACAGGGCTGAATTTCAGACTATTTTTGTATGTGTGTGAGCAAATTAACTCCCGTGTGGATATATGGGAGAGGCAAGTGTGTGGGGGTTACTCCCGTGTGGATATATGGGAGAGGCAAGTGTGGGGGGGTTGGCCTTATCGCTCTGTTGGGAGGTTGGCGTTACTTTGAGAGCACGGAGCCTCATAACACGTGCTGTGTTTAGATTTTTGTTTGTAGGGTTAATTGACGCACTAATGTATTTACAAAATTACTTATGGTGCCTGTTACTGAAGAGACATTATATTAGGCTACTAGAGCAAGCAGGTCATGCAAAAATGGAACCGATTTCTTCGGTTTTAGAGCGGGGATAGTTGGAGTCCAGGAAATCATCAGAGTGATCTGTTGTACTCTGGTTAAGTTTTAGCATTGCTGTTTGAACGCGTGTTCAAATTAGAAATTATATTAAGGCCTCCTTTTCTAGTTCGCCCTCGAGTGCACCACAGTGGAGATAAATGCTTTGGCGTCATTGTTAAAACATGTAGTGGAGCTCGTACACATGCGTATGCGATAAAAATTTCCAAATGACTAAAGGCAGCGACATTTAGCATGTGGGAGAGTTTGACAGAACTGTAAACAAATAGTCAGTCAACCATTAAAAGCTTGCCATGGGATTTAAGCAGCAATTTGTCCATCCAGGTTTTTAAATTGCGTGAAGGGGTTGTGAGGGGTATTCGCGTGACTGCCTGAGCGTGTACCTGATGTGGACAGGCAGCGCACAAGATAAAAACAGCTCTCATTTATGTTTGCCCGACCCACAACAATGGGTGGACAAGCTGGGGGCCGGACCACTGCTCCCCTCACTCACCTCCTCCTAATTTTCAGCGCTGCTTTTTGCTCTTTATAATTTTGGGGTTTTGCTGTTATAACGTGAGTATTTTTCTTTGGACATTTTAAAAACGCATTTTGCATATTGATGATTCTTATCTTTTAAAAAATAATGAACGTATGGAATCCATCTTGTTACCTGGTTGATTGGGTTCTGGGAGTTGTTCTACTCCCCAAGCCCGGCCCGTGGCCAGGCTTGACTTGATCTTAAATTGGCATATAGTGGTAACGTGGCTTGTTAGGGCAGTAGGTATCGTGAGTGGTTGTAGCCAGTATCGTCGACTCCAAAGGGGGATTATTGCCAAGAGCCCACGTTTGCTCTGGCCTTTACACGGCCCATGCCCCTAAGGCGGCTTACTGTCCCTCAGCTTATAACCTCGGCCGCAGCAAGTTTTTCAGAATATTTTATTAAGTTCTCTTGGAGGTGGTGGGGGGGGGGGTATAAAGTTGTACAGCCTCCCCTTTCTCGCTGTAACGTTTTGTGTACTTAAGGTTACTTACGTCGTTGTTGTTTTTAGGTAAATTTAATACTTTCCATAGGTGTACTTTCAATATAAACTTTACCAAAAATTACACATGAATTATTTATCTAAAGGAACAACTTTGCTCTTTGTTGATGTGGACTCTGGTGGGAATTGGCAACGTTAAAGGGTGACTCCAGATAAGATTGTTGTTGTTGTTTAGCGCAGTTGCGACCTTAACGAGGCTTGAAGGAAGAATTGGTGCAGGAAGGGTTAAGCCCCGCCCCCCTGGCCCTCTTCTCGCAGCCGCTGGCAAGTGGAAGCATAGCGGACTCTCCAGCTTAGCTGTGGCCCGCGTCACCCGCCCTTACAAGTGTACACACATACACAGCTGTTGCCGTCAGGAGACCATGACACACCTCATTGCATAGGTTTTGATAAGCTGTAGTGATGGAGAGTGCACCGAGGGTTGTGGGGGGAGAGGGGTGTAGTTGCGGCAACGGAGGTAGAGGACAGTAGAGATCAGGTGACGCAGCAGCTGCAGCGGATCAATGTTGTGTCCAGGTTCACCTGGGCGCCCATTTCTGGACGCTCTTATCTCGCGCACCTACGCTCAGTGTCCCGCTCTGCTCACTCTGAAGTATGATGTACACGCTCTGCTCACTCTGAAGTATGATGTACACGCTCTGCTCACTCTGAAGTATGATGTACACGCTCGATCACTCGCTCAGGTTTCGGCTTTTGTATACGAATTAACAATAAATTTAGCAAGCTTATATCGACAGTCTTGTCAGAAGAGCAGCCTTAAATTTTAAGACGCCCTTGTTTATAATTAAATAATTTTCGTAAAATATCTACCAGAAAGTTTATATGTACCTTCTTGTAAATAAATAACAATTAATAAATATGGGTAGGTAATGGTACAAGTCTCATCCTTCTCTGTGATTTTTAATCTTTATGGAATAGGATTATCCTTTTGAGCTGGCTTTATGAGATGGGATTAGATTTGCATTCATTATAGTTGTTGACAGTTTCTAAGGCACTTACATCCTAGATTCACCCAATGGTGTTCGTGACTGGGTGTTTCTTATTTCCCCAAAAGTCGGGCTGTTAACCAGGCCGCCTTATTGAAGGCCTGATGACCCATAAGGGGCATAACTGGCCGACCCCTCACAGTGTTCAAGAGAGAACTGGATAAGCACCTTCAAAGGATACCTGATCAACCAGGCTGTGACTCATACGTCAGGCTGCGAGCAGCCGCGTCCAACAGCCTGGTTGATCAGTCCGGCAACCAGGAGACCTGGTCGACGACCGGGCCGCGGGGACGCTAAGCCCCGGAAGCACCTGAAGGTAACCTCAAGGTAAGGTAACCCAGGTTGTAAACGCTAGCAAATGCCTGCCATGGGTACCACAGGGGTTTCTTGTTAATTTTGCTTGTAATTATAGACTCTGAGAGTGTACCATGATAATGACACGTACTCGCCTAGTCATGCGTGAAGGAATTGAGGTTTGGCTCTTTGGTCTCCCTTCTCAACAGTAGGGTTGACTCATCGTCAGGCACTGCCACCTTTTTGACGGTTAGCTCATTACATTTAACGAGCGGCCAGCATTAGTGCTCTAGCCCCGTCCTTACCTCAAGTTGGTTCCAGGGGTCACTGGCCAGGTCCCTCAAGGCGAGTCTGCTAATCCAGGCTGTTGGATGCAGTCCAGGTGGTTATGGATGTGTTGCATCTACAGGCTATCTTGAGGTTATCTTGAGATGATTTCGGGGCTTTTTAGTGTCCCCGCGGCCCGGTCCTCGACCAGGCCTCCACCCCCAGGAAGCAGCCCGTGACAGCTGACTAACAACCAGGTACCTATTTACTGCTAGGTAACAGGGGCATTCAGGGTGAAAGAAACTTTGCCCATTTGTTTCCGCCTCGTGCGGGAATCGAACCCGCACCACAGAATTACGAGTCCTGCGCGCTATCCACCAGGCTACGAGGCTGCTACAAAGTCAAGCCTGGCCCCGTTGGGGGCAGCAGAACCCACTCTGCTCCAGAGCCCATTCCAGGTAAGAATGACAGACAGAGG